GCTGAGAACTGTTGGGCAACCCTTTATGAAGATCGGACATCTCTGCCAAGCTGGGACATCATTGTGGACAGGTAATGTTGTGCAAAACTAGCTACTTCCCTCAGTTTCTTTGCAACATGTTCTCTACTTATGTAATATTGACTAAGACCTTTGGTCAGAAGAGAGTTGTGTAAACACTGTCTTAATGATCCACTAAAAAGCATTCTAATTTCATTTGTGTAACTTCTGCTTTATTTTAACTTTCGAATTCCTTCACTAGCTGTGAGAATCGCGATGACGGCTATGCCACAGTTTTCCATCCCGTTGTGAGTGACTCCAGAGTTTTAGTCCCGTCCCACATCAAGCGCTTCTCTGTAAAGATGTTCACTTTCACTAAAGATGACGAGGTTCTGAAAGACAAGGTAAGACTTGTAAATCCAAATCAGGAGTCTTTTGGCCACTGCTGAATGTAGCCCTGTGTAATAAATCATCCTGTCTGTCCACAGATCTATGTCCACTGTGATGCAGTGATTTGTGACGCAAGCAGCCAGGCAGATGGTTCCTGCAGAGGCCAGTGTGTGCATCCTCCAGGTCAGAGCTACTCAAGACCTGCAGGTGTAAAAAGGAGTAAGTGATCGAGTCTGCTCAAATGTAGTCGATCTGGATGTGCAGCTGGTAATCTTTACTTGTTTTGCAGAGAGAAGAAGCACCGACTCAACACGCCAAAGGCAGATTTCCTCTGGGGCAATTATTCTGTCCAACCTCTGAATAAAAATAAATAACAAATCTTAAACTTCTTGTCCATAATCTTTTTATTTGCAGTTTGTATCAAAGCTCTAAATACACTATGCTTTCAAACCTTCATTACAGTCACACTATCTTCAGAGGTGGGAAGTAGTACAAATACTTAATTGCTGTACTTAAGTAAATTTCTCTGGTATCATTACTTTAATCCACTATTTTTTTTTGATGAATTTTTACTCTAACTTAACACAAATACCTGTACTTTTTCAAAACTGGCTCGTAACTTTAATTTTAATCTGCGTTTGGTGGTGTGATCATTAGTCATTGCTTGCCTGTTAACAAGATCCGTGTATCCATTTCCTGGTCTTCTTTAAACAAGCGCGACCAATGAGAACTTTGTCATTTTTCCGTTGAGCATCGAAACAGTAATTAGCTAACAATGACATTGTTCTATTATAAAGTCATTTACTCTGTGAAACAGTTGGTAGTTATGGGTATTTTTACTTGAGTACATTGTGAAGCCCATACTACACTTTTACTTGAGTAAAGAGTTTAGTCAGTACTTTACTGAGTATTTTTAACCACGAGTATCTGTACTTGAGTAAAGGATGTGTGTACTCTGACTATCTTTTACTAATAGATGTCTTTATGGAGCCTTTACCTAAGGTACATTTCCTTTAAAACTTCGTGGAGCTTGTGCAGTACATCTTAATGTGTTGCAAAAACTCGGAATCTACTTTCTCACTTTTCCCATCGTCTGTGCATAAATATTGCCAGTTTCTTGTAGGCCAATAATGGGTTTAGAATGTATTTGATGGTGCAGATGCTTGGTGATAATTTTAGACAGTTAATGTCCTTAAAACAAATGTAAATGAGTCTTTGCATTAATAGCGTGCTACACTTTTTAAAAAAGCTATTCCAATATTCCAAACTGGTTTTACTTTTCCACCCTGTCATGCCTTTTTAATCGTTTGACCTTAAGTCACCCTGTGTCCCTGAGATGCTGCCAGCTTCTGGTATTGCTCGCAGCATATCAAACTGAAATGGGCTTTAATAATGCCACTGCAGGTGAAACCCACCTTGCTCTGTAAGCCTGGATTTTATTGTATCCAATGTTTATCAAGTGAGATGATGGAAAAATCAACCTCACTGTCTTGTAAGGGGTTTGCAACAAAGCAGATGATTGTACACACCCCCCCACCCGGAAGAATTTCCTGACATGAAGATGAATGTCTAAATGTGAAGAAATACACTCAGGCCCTGTTGGCATGTATCAGAATGAGGCAGCCACCAGTATGCTAATAACTGGTCACTTATGGACTAACAATGCCTAGCTTCCAAAGACTGAGCTCATTGTGCACACTGCAAAATCAGTTGTGCATGACTAACTTAAAGGTCTGCTATTATACTGTTTTTCATCAATAGATTATAGGTCTCAGATATATACAAAACATGTCTCTGAAGTGTTTGGCTCAAAAATACCCAACGGCTCATTGTAGCATTCCATATTCCTCTGTTTCAGCCCTGTTTCAAAAGTTCTGATTCTGTGTCTGTTACTTTAGATGAAAAATAAGAAGCCACTCGAAGGAGATTCAGGTGATAAGGTGGGCGAGTGTTAGATTGGTTGGTCAAAAAAACGTTATGACAAAGTGTCCAAAATCTGATCAGCTCATTTTTTCAAACTGGTTTTTATATAAATGGACCAGGACAAAAAGAGCTAATCTTTTTTTCTGAAACTTTCAGAATCTCTTGGACACATATTTATGTATACAAGACATGAAAAAGTGGATTTTGCATAATAGGTGACCTTTAAAGTTAATTACCTAGTTTACAATTACATTCATTCTTAGTGCCAATTTCAATGGTGTTCCACTGTGCCCTCTCCTACATGTTGTGGCTTAAAGAGGCCCTATTGTGTTTTCAGAATTCAAATTTGTATTTTGTTCCCCTGTGACCTGTTTACATGCTTTAATGTTCAGAAAGGTCTTTCTTTTTCTCATACTGCAGCACCTCTTTTCACCACTTAGGCTAAGAGGCCAGGGTTGCGGTCGGATAATCCAAAAATCAGCTCCTAACGTCTAACCCTATCGTCTATCCCTTGACCTCTGAGTGAAACGTCACGGGGTTAAGGGATAGTGGATAGGAGAATTCAAAAAGACTTGGGAGAAGAGACTGCGGTACTTTAGAGAATCCGACTGCACTTTCACTATCCGACGTGTTTATGATGCGCCAGCGGACGTCATAAATGTGTGTCTGCTGCTGTGGGGAAACTACAGTTTTCTATACAACGGACTACATGGATGTTTAATAAGAACGAGGGACTACTGTAAACTCATCTAGAGACTCTGCACCGTGCTCTGATGCTGTTGTTTTATGCATTATGAACATGGACAACAGAGAAACATATTCATGACCAAAGTTGGAATTGAAATAAAAAAGGAAAGGGAAACTTATGCTCGTCACCCTCTCCCTCCGGTCCACATTAATACAAATGATCCCAATACGTATGATTGTATGAAAAGATCTCAAAATAAATACTAATGTATTTATAATAAACGTTAGTCCTTAACATCTCTCACTGTGTACATCACCATTCAAACATCTTTTAAAAGTTGAACAAACTCCACACAGCTCAGTAGGCCTAAAGACTGAAATGTTGACTTTATTTGATAATTTCAATAAAAACTAACGTTAATATTTCTCTTTTTGATTATAATACTGATGAACGTTCAAGACAAAGCACTTTGGCAAGTTACTGTAAGGGAAACTTCTGTAGCAATGGATAGTCAGGACTCAGAGAGACACGAGGAGAGTTGTAGCTTCGATGTCAAACACTGATGGTTTATTACGAGTATCGGCCGGAGGATTCACATCACAACTCACAGCCAGAGGTTCTGACTGCACGGGAGAGTTGCCACGTCAATTCTGAAGCGCCTCTCTCTTGCTAGACCTTTTAACTGGTTCACAGAGAGTAATCAACATAGTTGAGGTGATAGCCTAAACATCTGGGAACACTGAATCACTTGCGTCTGATCCCTATGGCCTTTAAGATTACACCTTGGGAGTCCACAAACACCATCCAGCGTTCTCACAACCATAAACCATTCGTGACCGAGAGTTGCCCGGTCATAAACTGGGAACAACATCATATGGCTGAAGCAGCCCATTCCGTGAGATAACAGACGTCAGGGTTGGTCATAAACGTCAAAGGGCATAAAAAGGTTAGTTATCTAGGAGTAAAGGAGAATTATTCCCCAACAGTTACCACATACGTTTTAAAATGCTTAATAAGCACCGTAACTTTCGTGATATAATTTCTCGGTCATAATCGGTTGTTTCCGTGAATGGCCGACTGTTGTGTGACGGCAAATGCTGCGGCTGCAAGGCATTGTGGGGTAGCATTTTCTCCTCTCCTCTCGGTGAGGGAGGTCCAGTGTTCCTACGCTAAAGGAGGTTATCAAGGCAGTTTGAAACTCATTTCCTATCCATCCTAGTGCAGGGGTTCCCAAACTTTGCCATGCCAAGGACCCCCATATAGCATTATCCTCTGGCGGGGACCCCCCCTGTTGCAATTTATTTTTTAAATGACTACATTATGATGGAAAATATGACAAATCATACAGCTTAATACATTTTCTTAATATATATTTGTATTAATAATTAATCAGTTATTCTTCTAAATTGTTTTTGTATTTATCTTTTGTTTGTCATTCATTGCATTCATTGTGTCTCGCTATAAACATTAACACAAAATTAAACATATTTTTGAAGCATTTTTAAATTGATTTGTCTTTATAATATATAATTTTGAAAAGTAATATGAACATATATATTTTTAGCATTTCTGAAAGCTACTTATTCCTTAATAATATTCAACAGTAATATTAACATATATAAACATCAATATTTGCTACATCCGTGCTCTCATCCAGCTGCAGAGCGAAATATTCACTAGCTCTCACTTTCTCCAAAATCTGAGCAGATACTCAGTTTTCACTCAGCTCGATTCTAATTGGCTTGAATGGTTGTCGTGTGATTTAAAAACAATTTTTTTTAATTAAAATTAAAAGATTGGCATCAAAGGACACAGATTGATAGATATGCAGTTATTAACATCTAAAAAAAAAAAAGTAACTTTCAAAAAAAAAAAGAAGAAGTTTTTAAACACTTTTAAAAACACTGATCTAGAGAATTCGAATGGCACTTACTGTATCATGGCTGCCACTGAGGGACTTCTGGGTCATTGCACTCAGTTAGGAAGGTTCCTAAGCAAAATGGACTATTCGACTACAGTCCAGATGTCACTTCAATGTGTTGCAGTGCTACCCAATAGAAGCGCACGTGTTACACAATGATGTCACTGTTTCTGAAGTAAATAGGAGTTCAATGGGGGGGAGGGGGGGTGTGTAAAAGAAACTCCCTCTAAAGGAAACTTTGGGATTGTAGCCTTTGCAGACCACACAGCTGCTGTACAGTAAATACATGTGGTTTGGAGCAGAGAATCATTTTGGACCTCCCATAACCATAGAAAACACAACTATAGATGAAAAGAAAAACTCTAATTACTAATACAAGTGAATTCATTTAAAATATTTTATTAAGATTTTGTTTAGGAGCTCATTATGATGATGGGTCCTGAAGTCACGTGTTTGAAACCGGGGTCATCTGAAATGGCACGTTTTTGACCTGTGGGAGAAAAATAAATAAATATATTAGCCACTTTATTCAAAAGCCATTGTCCCATTTTATAATTTGAGCCAACACGTGTAAACCTTATAGTACATTACTCGATAATGACATCAGCATGTATGAGAGCATACCCTTCATCGTGTTGTCCTGGTCTGAACACTGCACATTACAAGCTGCATCCACTGGATTTCTAACATCACAGATGACCACATCACAGTGGACAAAGACCTACAAAGGTATGAATAGATTTAAGGATTTGTTATAGACTTTTGTTTTCCAAACTCTGAAGCATCCAAAAATAAAAAGACTATTTATTCTTATGACTGAGTACCTGGCGGTTCAAGTTATCCTTGTCTTCGGCGAAGGCAAACATCGGGACCTCAAACCGCTTGACGTTGGAAGGATAATGAACTCTGCCCTTAGGCAAAACAGAGTGGAAGATCACTGGGTGGGGGTCCCTTGAGTTTGCACAACTGAGGGAGAAAAAAAAGAGCACCCTATGATTTTAAACCATCCCTTTTTTTCAGTTTGACAAACATTTCATTGGGACATGAAAAAAATAAAGAAATATATACAAGTTACCCGTTAACGATGAGGTCCCATCGAGGGAGGGACATCTTGTCCTCTTCCAGCGTTGCCCAGCAGTATGCCAGCTCAAGAGATACTTTAGGGTTGTTAGATCCCATCAGTTCCACCTCGAAATACAGCGGCTGTTGTAGGTAATTTGTGAAGGGATCGTCCTCAACGCGGTGAAACACACTGTAGGAGTCGTCTGAAGTGAAGCAAAACATGTTTGCCCAATTATTAAGGATTCAGGCAGGAATAGAAATGGCCTGTACACAGAACATTAAGGCGCATAATGCAGAAGAGTTTAACTCAGATGTAGTCAACATCCCAGGTGCCAACTCAGTTCATTGGTTTAAAGATTAACTTTTTGAAAAAAAAACATTCCAATTACTTAAAGCAACTACAATATGAACTGTCTCCAAGTTAACCAAAATCCTGCATTTTGATAGAAAGTGTTATCCCGTCTCTTTGCATTAAGCTTTTTCAACGTGTTGACATGATAGAACTCTTATTTCCCCCAGTTTCTAGCTTTGGGAGAGTTTCCAAAGACTTGAAAAAAAAAACCTAATCCTTAGCAAGCATGCAAGACAAAAACAAACCACACGAGGCATGAAGAACTTTCTTTACCCAAAGCAACTCTCATTTCAACCT